TTGGACACAAGGACACGCGCGCGCGACCTTACGCGGGTAGTTTCCGCGCCAATGTCGGCGCAGACGAACCCGTTTTTCTGCGCCGCCCACATGGAGAGGGCTAGCGGGAGAGCCAACGAGAGGGAGCGAGACAGAGAGTGGGAGGAAAGAGAAACAGGGGATGTTTGGTCGCTGGTTTGCGTCAAGCCCTGGCTCCCCTGGAGGACGGGCCGCAGAAACGACGGGAAGGGACCGCCAGAGGGGCCTGAGACGCGGAAGGAGGCGAAGGCCCGACAAGACGGAAGGGACCGACTGGCAAGAGATCGGAGGAGGGCAGGAAGGCGGGTTGGAGCTGTTTCATTCCAGCTGTCCGCTTCGGAGAGAGGCTTTTCGCGCTGTTTCATTCCAGTTTCAGTCGGGCACGCCGGTGGAAGATTTGGAAATTCGGGTTCAGGATGCGGCGGCAGCCCAAAGAGCGGGGAGGAAGGAGATTAATCATCTTGCATGATGAGTGTTGTTGGTGTCTATGGGCGTTCCCGCTCCGATTTCCCCGCGACTAGCACTGGTTCTCGGTCGTTCCGAGTGAAGTTGGCACGTATATTGCTTATTCCGAGTGGGAGTATTGAGCACCAATCATAACCAGCAGGCAGGTCCTTGTCGCGCACATCTTGAATACTCTCATGCGTGTCAAGGTCGTGCGTTCCTCGACGGACAACACGGTCCCACTGATTTGGGCCTTCATCGTCGAGCTGCACGCATCGCGCAACAGTTCGGTCAATACGAGCGTGCACGCCGAATGACGTTTCTGCTGTTTTCTCGTGGTAGTTGTATTCGTCTATCTACTCAAGCAGGCGCCGCGCAAGCGCCACCGAGACCTGGTTGCGCCATTCGGCGCGTTCGCGCTGGCTCGCGTCAGCGCACCTGCATCCCCACACAGTAGAAGGGTATTCAGCTACGAGTGATCCCAACTTGCATGTAGGAGCCGCTGGGCCGCGGGCCCCTGCGGTCATACTTGAGCCCGACATGGCACAGACGCATACGCATGGTCATTACATGCAGGTCCTCGACAGTATCCTCGATCGGCCGCAGTTTCCGCTTGTGCCCAGGAGGACCCATCATCGCGACATGCACATGTAAACCCTTAGCCTTGGATAGTCAACTGTGCACCCGCTCCAAATGTGCCCCGACCCGCTGCCCCGGTGGACGCATGCACCCATCGGCTGGAATAGAGACCCACAGAGTAGCATAGCACCTAGATACAGCGAACCGCTAGATGACATAAGATCACCACGCGTCACACACGCATCCTCGGAGGCGGAATTGGGTGCAAGCGATGCGAATAGCCGCAACGATAAGACAGCCTGCGTTTATATGTTGGCCTGTCCCCAGGCAGCTGGTCAGCGCCGGCTAACTTGTCGAGCGAGCTGAGGGCCGGCCCACTTCGGCCTGCCCCCCATCAGCCGACATGGCGGGCAGCCGCGAAGCTGAACGCCTGGTCCGCGTCGATTTCCTCCACGGCTTGGTCGGACTCGGTCATGAGGTACCTTATGCGGGTGTTCAGTGAGCTCTGGCTGCTGTCTGAGTTCCCGTTTGCACTGGCCACGCTGTTTGGGCCCCACACGCGCGTCTCCGCTCGGACTGGCACTGGCGCCCGTCGCGAAGCGAGGTACCCGCTGCCAGGCGTCCACTGCCGAATCCACCCGCGCATTCACGAGGCCCCCCATGAAATTGATCAACTCCTTGCGGCCACGGTCGACAAGGAGGCCGACGTGATGGATCTGCGTCGCATGACAACACTTGAGCTGCTTATTCACAAAATCCCCGATGGCCTCGTCGAGCCCATCGCTCGCGCCAGGTCGTTGAGCCAGATAACGCTGCAAATGCCAGTTGATAACCCAGCGTCTCCTGGCTGCGTGAGCCTGTTGATGCGCGTTTGCGTCTCCAGATTGGCCGATGCGTCGCCGCTGGCGGGCTCGGACTGCGCCCCCGGGCAACCTCGGCCATCTTCAACTGTCCAGTCCCGGTTCAATCAGCTTCACTGAGAATGTTGCAACACGCCGGCCCTGGCATGTCGGGGCCTGAATAGTTGGCAGACGCCGCGCAAAGGAACTCGGAGCACGGGGTGGCAAGGTGCCCGCTGATCCAGGCGGGGAATCCTGGCTCCTTGGCCCACGCGCACCTTGCACTGGGTCGCGTCGGGGAAAATGACACCCCCCTCCTCTTCGAGCACGACGATCACGCGTCTCCGCGGGAGGCTAGCACGCCCAGACACGGCTGGGATGTCGGCCCCAATGCCCTCGGCGACGTTGGCGACGAGCGTCTCCAACTGCCGCTTCTTCAAACAATTTCGCGCGATCGGGAACTTGCCCAGAGCGCGAGGCATCGCCGATCCGGCACCCACCCCACTCGCGCATAACGTCTCCTGGAGGGCGCGCCCGCGCGGATTGAGGCCCCGCTGCCCCCCCATTTCCCCGAATATGAAGGTCGGAGTTGCGGGGGGCGCCAGGCCCCCTGCAAGGCCGGCCGGGTTGCCAGCGGCGGTTTTGCACCAACGCTGCGATATCAAATATTGGACTTGGCGTCGCGCTTGCGAATTTGCCGCGGGGCAACATTAATCGATTTTTCCACTTTAGGAATTAATGTCGGAGCGCTGGCCCCAACCATGGAATCATCGGAACAATGCGCGCGAAGGCATCGCAATCCGCGGGGGCGAAGCCACGGCGGGCGAGGCGCCAGCGAAGGCAAAGCGACAGAAGGCAACTGGACGATGCAATCTGCCACGGGGGGGCGAGCAGCAACGGCCAGCCCGGGCGCCCAAGGCTAGCGGGGCGGGAGGCCAAGGGAGGCCACGGAGGACACGGGACTCCATGGGAAGCCCCAGAGGGCGTCCAGCAACGACGGCCGACCCCCGAATCCAGGCGGTCGCTCACAAGCGCCCGGGAGGCGCACGCGCGCTCGGAGGCGAAGGCTCACAAGCGGTCGCTCACGAGCGCCTCAGGCGCGCACGCGCGCTCGGAGGCGCTGCCGGGAAAGCGCCCACAGGAGCGCAACGGCGCTCGCAGGCGCGGAGGCGCCGACTGGCATCGCCAGGCGGTAGCAAGTGATCGCACGCGCCCGGCGGGGCGACCGCAGGCACTGCCCGGCGCCCGCGGGCAGACGCAATACCTCGCGGAAATGCGCGGGCGGTCGGTCATCGCCGCCCGCCGCCCCCGCGGCCCCTGCGCGCGCGGGCGGCCCGAGAGCGGCGCGCAACAAAGCCGAGCCCGCGAGAATCCGCGAGAACCCGCAAGAAAACCAACCCATAATGGAAACGCAGCACAATCCGCCAGACTCCGCGAGAATCCGCTAAGATCCGCCACGAACCCTTGCTGGAGACCCAGCAAAATCCATGGGAATCTGCGCGAATCCGCGAGAATCAGCGGGCGAGTTCTGGAGCCCCCAGTGGAACCCGAGGGCTCCGGGGCCCTCTGGACGGCGTCGTCGCCGTCACCGTCGCCGTCGCCGGCGTCGTCGCAGCCTCCGCAGAAGTGAAACCTCGAGGGGGGCAATCTCGGGGGGCCTCTGGGCGCCGTTGTCGCGGTCGCCGTCGCCGTCGCCGACGCCATCGCCGTCGTCGTCTTCGTCGTCGTCGCCGGCGGCGTCGTCGTCGTCGTCGCCCCCAGCGCCGCGAGCGACTGGGCCCCGCCCCCCGCGCGGGGCAATCGCGGAGGGAACGTGCAGACTCCTGTCCGAGATGGCGCCCTCGGCGACGCGGGGAACGTTCGGGCGCGCGCCCGTTGTCTGGCAGGGCATGCGGACGCGCGCGCACGAGCGCTCGCCCCATGAGCGCGCGACTACAGAGACAAGTACGACGACGGTGGCGACGATGATGATGATGATGATGATGATGACGATGAGCCTGATGGCGTCCGAATAGTATAATGGTTCGATGTTACGTTTCATGCGCGGCGCACTCGCGCCCGAGGCGCGCCGTCGCCACCGAGACGCGCCAGGAAGCAAAACAGCTAAGCTTCAACGCCCGATTGTTGGGCCTCGCGCCGACGGCGCGCCCGCGGGCCTGCGCTTCCGAGACCTACATTGCGAGGGCCCGCCCACCCCCCTTGCATCTCCGACCCTCATATCTCCGAACTGGCCGGCGACATTCTGGCCTATAAAGATGATGTCGGAGCCGATGTCCACCGGCGCCGAGAGCCTGCCATCCAGCACGATGGTCTTGCTCACCCCTCGATGAAGACTTCTTGGCCGCTCGGGCGACTGATCCCGATGGTCTCGACGCCCGCGCAGCGCCTCCGCCTTTGGTCGGCCACCCACTCCCCACATGGGATATGCCCAGATGCAGCTTCTTAGTCAGAGAGAGCCAGCCGAAGTATTCGTCTGCTGCGGGTGGTTCCAGCTCCAGGACCATCTGGATATTGGAGTCAGCACTCGCGATGACATCGAGCACGACACCACAGAGGGCGTCTCGGCTGTTGACCACGTAATTACACGACCTCACGGTTCGAGCTGGCGCTGATGCGCGAAATCTGCGGTGCGTCGACGCGACGCGGCGGTCCCCCGCGCGTCGGGCGAATCCGCTGCCGGCCAGCGCCTGCGCCTCGGCACCTGCCCTGCTGCTGCTGTCGCAGCCTGTCCAGCAGCGGGGCGTTGGCAGGCAGGGTCGCGCCGTGCAGGCTCGGGCGCGGGCCCTGGTGCTGGCGTCGGTGCATCCGCGGTGATCGGAGCATAAATCGCGACTGTCACGCAGCGCCGCGCGTCGGTTAGCAAGTCCCCTCGCGGTTGGGCAGGTTGCCGCGCATCGCGTAGCTGGCAGCGCAGGTCGGCAATCTGCGTCTGCAGCGAAAGGATATCGGAGGCCCGCGTTGGCTCTGCGCCCTCTCCTATATGGCCAGCACAAGGGCGCAATGCCACTACGATACCAGGAACGCGGCACACTGCGCAGGGGGCATCAATAGGAGCGCCCCCTCCGCCGATTGAGAACGCAAGTGCGGTTAACACCATCCCAGCCTGAGTCGTGGCAAGACCGCAATGAAGGTACCAGAGCGCGTCGCGCGGCTGGAACGTCTGCAGGCATATCGAGCAGCGCGCAAACTCGATGTCCGACATGATTGGTGCCTGGGCATTCGGTGTGAGACGCGCCTGCCTGCCCACGGCATCCGCGTCGGCGTTGCGTGCTGCTGGTGGTCGGCCCGAGGGTGACGGCGCATCGGCGCCCATCCGCGCGCCCCCACGCTCGGCGCGCTCAGCAGCCCTGACAGAAGCGCGTCGTGCATCATTGCGAGCACGGTTAGCTGCGACAAGACTGTGCCGTGCAGTCATGTTCGCCTGCATCGCGCGGTGGATGCCCCTGGCGCCCGCGGTGATCGGGGTCGTCGGTTCTGGAACGACAGCCACCATCTCCTGCGCTTGCGCATCCGTATCCAGCGGTGTAGGTTGGCATGACACGTGGGGGCGCAGTGCTGCGTCGATCGCTCTCCCGGCCGAAAGCCCGTGGAACTCCTCGGCGGTCTCCCGCGTGCACCTGTCGCCCGGCACGGCGCGGCCCGCGCGCCCCCGCCCGCTCCGATCGCGAAAGTACTCGGGACACATTGGCGCCTGCATCGGAAGCGGCGCGGGCGCGCGTAGAAGATCCAATCAACTAAGGGCGCATGGCAAATGCAGGCACACACTGGGACGGGAGCGGCCAACGGCAGTCGGGTCAGGGCCTGGGTCGGGCCCCCACGCGCATAGGGGGGTCCAATCTCCGATCCACCTCGCAAGCCTGCCCGAGACATGAACGCCGAGGGGCCGCAAATGCAGGGCGCCCTCCTCCTGCTGCTGTTGAATACAGCGTTGCCGCTGGCAGTGCGGCAGGTCGTTGACCCCGTGCCCATTTTCAGACTGTTGCGGCGCCGTTGGCGCTGCAGTCGCGCTGCTAGCAGGTGGCGTCACGGCCGTCAGCTCGCGCAATGCTGCTCGTGAGTCCGGGCGCTGACGCAGCCGCTGGAGCCGCTGCTGCAGGTCCGCGGGGGCCCAGCTCCATGGGCTCAAACCAGCCGGGCCCCGCTGCGCTTGAAGGCCACCAAGGGGTCTGCAGCGACGCCGGGCGCGCGCGCACTCGCCTGCAGGCCAGCTGCAGCGGCCCGGGGATCGAGCAAGGCGAGCTGCCCCACCGCGGCTTCGCCGGCAGCGGGCGCCGTGGCGCCCCAAACTGCCCGAGTCGGGATGGCCCGCGACTGCACAGATCCTTGTTATGATTTCGTCCTCGCGGCCGGGGCAGAAGCGTCTCCGCTGTTCGCGTGGACCTCGGTGCCGCCCGAGATTCCACGCGGCGTTTGCGCTCAGACCGAATGCCGCCTCTGGACAGCGCCTCCCGCGCCCCAGCTCGGCCGGGGAGACCGGCCCGGGAAAGTTGCACAAAGGGTCGAAATACGCAGGGCCATGCCAAGATTGGCCTCGCAGCGCCCCCGCATTGAAACAAGCTGCACGACGCACCTGGTCTCGCAGCAGCATTGGAAGGGAGATGAAGATAGCAACCTCTGCGCCTCCGCGGATCCAGCTTCGGGCGCGGGACCCGCCGGGCCAGCGGAGGCACCCGCGGATGAACTGCCGCCCCTGCCCCTGCTGACCGCGGCGGCGGCGGCGGGGATTGCCCTCCGCGCGGCGCGAGAGGTCGACCCAGAGGACGGCCTCGAGGCGCTCCTCCTTCGCGCCGTGGACGAAGCGCACCCCGCTCTCGAGAGACGCCACTTCCCTGTAGAGGCCCCCCGCGCACGAGAGCCCGGGCCAGCCGCGCCCGCCGTCGGCGCGCGCGCGCGTGATGGGGCCGCTGTCGGCGCGGAGCTCCTTCAGCTCACGGCGGCCTTCTAGGCCCCAGACCGACGCTCGACCTCCGCGACCATCGCGAGGACTAACGCGATTAAGTCCACGTCCACCTCCTCGGGCCCCATGCACCCCATCGCCGCGCCGTGCTCCACGCCGCCCCCCCGGTGCTCGGGGGCGTCGGTCACTCCCGCCCAACCATCAACGACATCGCGATTCGGTGATTTGAGCCGTTGAGGAACAGCCCATTGCAGCGGTCATCGCCGCCGTGGCATTCGAAGGGTCGGTGGCGCAGGATCCGCGAGACCCCCTTGCTGATGGCGATCGGCTCGGCATGGCTCGGAAGGCGCCTTCTATCCTGCCCCGCAAGTGGCGCCGCCTCCGCAGCCATCCGCAAGGGCGGGATATCGCGGATAATATTTCGCAACCGCTGGCGCCCCCGCTCACCTGCGTCATTGGCAGGCCTGGTGCGCTTTGATCTCGCGGGTGGCTACACGGAAGCGATCCGCGCTGGCTGAGGCCCCCAATTCTGGTTCATCGACCTCTGGCGCGCGTTCCCGCGGAGTGCTGGGCTCGCTTCCACGTGCGCCCCCGCTCCCCCCACGGCGCAGGTCGCGAGAATCCGCTCCAAGATCAGGAGCGCCCCCGCCCGATGATGAGGCAACCCTCGACTCCGGGCCCTTGCTCCGAGCAGTTGTCAGCTCTAGAACTGGGCATGCTGATCCTCTGATCCCATGGACTGGGCAGCAACGGGCGCTCCAGGCACCGGCGCTGATCTGCTCGAAAATTCAGAGGCCATTGCCGCCGCGCCTTGCCCAGTAGAGCGCCCCAGCTCGACCCCGAGAAACCCTGTGGGGGCGACCTGTGGTCAGGTCGAGTTCCCGCCGCACCTGAGGCGGCCTAATCGGCCGCGCACTTCGCGGCGGGCACGGGGACTTCCACTGCGCGGCTGCCCCCCATATCCGGGGGTCCTTTTGGCGCCTCCTCCAGTGGAGTATCTGATGCAACTGCAATGGAGCGGGCCGATGAAGGAGCTGGCGAGACACTGGCAGGCCCGGTCGCGCCCTTGGCTCGCTCGTCGGAACTCGAGCGCGCACGCCCGCCCGCGCTCGCCAGGCTGACTTCCCTCTTGGACGAGCCCGGCGGCTCCGCGGATGCGGCGGCGGCAGGCTCGGCGCGCTTCTCCTTCTTATCTTCAAGCTCAGCATCAGCGTTTGCGAGCCGAGCATCAGCGACTCTGCGATCGCCCCCCTCGCCCTGGTGCCAGAGCGGGTTGATATCATTGCGCCCGCGGTCGCATGAGAGAGCGCCCAACCGCGGGCCTCGCCGTCGTGGTCGATGGCATCATATGTCACGCGTTGTTCCTGGGACGTCAACGACACGTCTCGCGCGATACCGTCGCCGCGCCGTGGCATCCACGGCGCAAGGCCCCGACCGGGTGACATGCTGTCGCTATCCATAGGACACTTGGCACGGTGCTCCTGGCACTCGAAGCGCACGCAGATGCGGCACCTTGAGCGGTGGCCGATCCAGTCCCGTTCGGCGCCCCGCACTTCTGCGCGTTCACGAGCGCGGCGACGCCCCAAAGCCCGAATCATCTTGCCGGCGCCATCGCGTTCGAGGCCCCCCCTGAAGTGCCAATGGCGCACCGCCCCCTCGGCGTAAACGCGCGCCGCCCAGGAGTAGTCCAGCTCTGCCTGGGACAATAGCGACGGGCGCCAGACGGCCGGGCCACCCCGGTCGCGCGGCGCCCCAACCGGCCCGCGCGAGCGAGCGCGCGGAGCGCGGAAGGCCATGAACGGACCGACACTGGGGCAACCCCATGCAACGTCAATGATATCACCAGCTGCCAAGTCAAAGGTCACTCCACTGCGCTGCCTTAGCGCGTGCCGACGCATTGTATTGGACAGTGGCTTCGTAGGCGCGTTTCCACGCACGTCGGTCGCGGCATCCACATCCATAGGCGCAAGCGCGCCCCAGCGCGGCCAGTCATCTGGCTCGGGTAGTTCTGCGTCGCGCAGCCCTTCAGCGGCGGTGGGAATCGTCTCCGCCTCTGAGACGTCGCCGTCGCACGCCCCCATCTCGCCTTCGATGTTGTCGATCAGAAAATCGACGCCGGGGTCCGCCAGAGCGCGGGCCATGGCGTCGCGCATGAACATGCTGCACGCGAGGGGCGACGGCGATTGCGCCCCCACGGGGGGGGAATCGAGCGCGGGAAAATCGACGCACGCATCGTCATCCGCGCTTTGCCGAGCCGCCGCGCGAACAGCGGCATCACCCTATCCTTCCCCGGTCGCACGCTGATGCGGAAAGTGGCGGCCACTACCGCACCTGGCGCATAACACCCTCTTCCCAGAACGGTACGCGGGCTTCAGTTGTCGGCCCGGTTCCTCGCCGATAGCACGGCGTCGGCCACGACCTTTCGCCGGGGGGGGGCCCTCGCAGTCGGCATCTGTCAAAGACGCAATAGAAATGGCAAAGCCGCGATCACGCAAGCCGCCGCGGCGCCCACCCTTGCAGCGCCCCCTACGCCGTCTGCGAAAAAAACCCTCAATGGCCCCACGGGCCCGTCGGATGGGCTTCTTGATAATCCGTCTCCGTCGACGCCGCGCGCGCTGATAGCCCGAGAGTAAATATTCAGCGGTCTCCGCGTCTCCTAGTCCGTCGGGCATGTCCGTCGCGTCTGAAGGTCCGACTCCGCCCGTGATCCCGCGCCGGCATCGGCGCCGGTCGCAGGGCGAGTTTGAGTTGGAGGCTGAGCCGCGACGGACGGTCTGTCTGTCAGGCGCAGTAGGAAGCAGGGTTAGCAGGCTGTCCCCAGCCCTGGCGCGCGCGACGATGATGGGGTCGCCTGAACTGCGCCGATTCCATGGCCAGCTAGTAAAGCAACTGCGGATTCTTCTGGGGTGCGTGGGTCGCCGGCCCATCCGCTGATTGGCGCGGTCGCGCCTCCGTCGGCGGCGGCCGCGCGCGCGCTCGCGCCCCCGCGCCCTTCGCCCCCAAACAACGATTGCATTACCGACATTGCTGGGCGCGCGAGGCTAAGCGACCGGAGCTGCGCACGCGGCCCAGCCGCTCATCGCAGTGCTGCCGGGCGCGTGGCATTTGACCATTCAACGGTTGAAGTAATTGAGCAGCTGAGCCAGGGCCAAGCCGTGACGCTCTGACGACCACTGTGGCGGGCAACTGAAAGTTCTGGGCTGCAAATTCTTCAGAATCGGCTTCAAGACGGGCGATCTCGAACCGAGCGAAGATTGAATCCGCCCTCTCGCCGGTCTCGGGCCTGAAATCGACGAGCGCCGTTCCCGAGGCGAGCCGGCGCTCGCACCCTAGGTTCTCGACCACGGCGCTAAGAACTGACTGCCTACCAGAGCACCCCAACCTAACCCGAAGACCCGAATTTCGGGTTGGGGGGGGAACGGGTTCCACACGTGTTTTCTCAATGTTCCCCGACCCCCCTCCACTGGAAATGGAGGGCAAATCGGTGCCTTCGGGTTGGGTTGGGGTGGTTTGGTGGGCGGTGAAGAACAAACGCGAAGCGTGTGACAGGCTCCGCGCGGACCCCTTGCACAGTCACGCCGTGCTCGGCGAGTTGCAGTGGGATCCGCATCGCAATTAGCGCGAGATAATCCACGCTGCAGGCACGCAGCCTGCCGACGTGGCCTCCTCCTCCTCCTCCTCCTCCTCCTCTCTCCTCTCCTCATCCTCCTCCTCCTCCTC